AGGTAATCAATGCTTTGAATTAAGTTGGGGGGAATTTCTGCACTCATAGTGCTAACTCTGTTTCGGGCTGGAGACTTTAGCCATAGAAAGTGTGTGGGGCAAGGCTCCTCTTTCTCTCAACCTACCAGAATGTATCCTAGGAAAAGGAGACTGTTTGACTATAGCACACATACTCCTCTGAGGAGAGTCAGAAGCCCATGGTGTCTCAGAGGAAAAAACTCTGGGGAGAAGCTGTTTTTCTTTTCATTTGAACACTGCACTGGACTTCATTAGTTTGACTGAAACTGTCAGTTCTCCTGGAAAAATCTGAAACACCAGTAGGGATGCCTGGAGGAGACACGTTGGTTGAGCTTTATTTCCTGTCTATCTGTCTGTGTGTATGTGTCTCGGTTTGCTTGTTTGGACTTTTGCCACCAGACCCTGGGAAGGGGCCATGTTCTCTATAACTAAGGCTACGATTTAGTCATGGGCATTTTTAGTAAAAGTCATGGACAGATCATGGGCAATAAACAAAAAGTCACTGGGGTCAGCCGCACTGGCTGCTGCAGAAATCATGGAGGCCCTGGAAAGTCACGGAATCTATGACTTCCATGACCTCTGTGAAAGACTCGCAGCCTTATCTATAACCCACAGTCAGGGCCGGTTTTAGGCCAATTCAACCAATTCCCCTGAATCGGGCCCCGCGCCTAAGAGGTCCCCGCGCCCAAGCCCCGGTACAGCGTACCGGCGTGGCCCGGCTTCCCAAGGGGGCAATTTAAAGGGCCTGGAGTGCCCAGCAGGGGCTGGAGCCCCAGGCCCTTTAAATTGCCACCAGAGCCCCACTGCTGGAGCCCTGGGGTAGGGCTGCGGGGCTCTGGGAGCTATTTAAAAAGTCCGGGGCTCCAGCTGCCTCTGCTGCCCCGGTCCTTTAAATAGCTGCCGGAGCCCCGCCACTTCCCCAGGGCTCCCGCAGCTATTTAAAGGGCTGGGGCAGTAGAAGCAGGGGAGCCCCGGACCCTTTAAATAGCCCCCAGAGCCCTGGGATAGCGGGGGCTCGGGAGCTATTTAAAGGGCTGGGGCTCCAGCTGCTTCTGCTGCACCCCCTG